GGCGAGTCAGTCTCCCCCTCGTGACTCCTTGCCACATTCCCAAAATTAGCTGTTTTCTTCTTCTCCTTCCTCCCCCATTTTCCACATCACCTTCCAACATCTCTCTCTAAAACCCTAATTCTGTTCCAAATCAAATCTAATTCTTCGATTTCTCCACTTCAATCTAAACAATCCATCAGTCTACCGATTCAATCCAATCCAATCCAATTCATGCATATCTGACCCCAAATTTCTGTTTTCTCCGGGGCTCCGATCCAATTCGAGTGTAACGTCGATCCAAGGACGCACCTTACTCGGATTTGATCGGGATTCTATTTGATCGGATCTTTTCGAGCTCAATTAGGAATCATGGATTCGAGTCGAAGAGCTGTGGAGTCGTACTGGAGATCCCGGATGATCGATGGGGCGACTTCCGACGAAGACAAGGTCGCACCTGTTTACAAATTGGAAGAGATTTGCCAGCTTCTGCGATCATCGCATGTCAGTATTGTCAAGGAGGTTTCTGAGTTTGTATTGAAGCGTTTGGACCATAAAAGTCCAATTGTTAAGCAGAAGGTATACAAATAATTCTTCTTATATAGTAAAATTTTGTTGCGAAATTATTTTTTTGTATCTGTTAAAATGCTTGTAAGAAGTTGATTAATTGGTTAATTTGATTTTATTCTATGGTAAAAAATATCGGGTGTTCGGTTTAACCTGAATGTATATTCTTTGGTGCATGCTAGTAGTTTGTTATCAAAACACACTGAGAATTGAAGATGAAGATGGTGACTTTTGATTCGATAACCTTGATATTAGTAATGGCTTCCATTCATCAATGGTGTGATCGAAGCGGAGAAGTGTAATAGTGTGTTTATAAATTTTCTTTATGAGAGAGAGGCTTGGCACTAATTCTATGTAGATTGCAGTGGTTTGGTTTCTATAACAGAGAGGCATATAGAAGTGAGACTTGACGAAAGTCAGGATATTTTTTCAAGAATTTACATAGAGTTGTGATTATGATGCCCAAATGTTCTGCAGGCTCTGAGATTAATAAAGTATGCCGTGGGAAAGTCTGGTTTGGAGTTCAGGAGGGAAATGCAAAGAAATTCAGTTGCAGTGCGCCAGTTATTTCACTATAAGGGACACCCGGATCCTTTGAAAGGAGATGCACTTAATAAGGCTGTGCGGGATACTGCTCATGAGGCTATTTCTGCTATCTTTCAAGAGGAAAGTAATGCAGCACCTGCAGATGATCTTAACCGAAGAATACAAGGTTTTGGGAATACGAACTTGGAGATGTCATCAGATGAAAAAAAGTCTTTCATTAGTGAGGTTGTTGGCCTTGGAAGTGCATCTATCAAGCAGGGACTTAGTAATTTCACCCAGAGTCACTCATTTAAAAAGAATGACAATGGAAACTACAAGAGTCCTAATCTTCATAGATCGTTGACCATTGAAAGCGAGCAGGCTGATAGATATGAACCCGCTCAATATCGCAATGAGGCTCAAAGTAGTTTTGGGTTGTCAAAGAATGTGACTAGTGGACCATGGAATGAGGATTCAAGGGTAACCAAGACTGCAATAACCAATGGAGATTCCAGTTCAAATTACAGAGAGAGTAAAACTCGCGAGGAGATATTGTTGGAGACCATTGTGACGTCAGGTGGTGTACGTTTACAACCCACTCGAGATGCCATTCAGATTTTCCTTACGGAGGCAAAGAAGTTGGATGCTGTAGCTTTGAGTCATGCCCTAGATGTAAAACTACAATCTCCATTGTGGCAGGCAAGTTGCTTATACTTATGTGTTGGCGAAAATTCTTCCACATGCTTTTATGCTAAATTGCCAAATAATTGAACACTTGAACATTCATAAGAATTATATTTTTCTTGATTATAAGAATTTTATCAAAAGATGAACAAATTGTCTTTTTTTATTGTATTTTCATTGTATTAAGTTTAATTGTTCAATCAGTATTGGTTAAGAAAAAGAATTGGGTGGAATTTTTGTTGTATTTATAGGTCTATTTCTTTGTCTAACTTTCTTTTATGCAATTATTTGTGTGTCAGGTACGCATGAAAGCTATTTGTGTTCTTGAGTCAATTTTAAGGAGAAAGGATGATGAGCATTTTGCAATCATAGAATCATATTTTATTGACAACAGAGATCTTGTAGTGAGATGTTCTGACTCTCCCCAGGCTTCTTTGAGGGAAAAGGCTAACAAGGTATTCAGTTATTTCCTCATACTTAAGAATATATGTGAGATTCATCTATTTACTTGTTTCTTAAAATACGTATATTGGTGATGAACAAGTAGTGATTGTTTCTGTTTGCTTAATCAACACTTCAACTCTTCCACGTCATTTCCAGGCAGTCATTGCTGCTCAAGTCTAGAATTGATTGTAAATGTAAAAAGAACTTGGGAGCGTCACATTCTTTGCCATAGTAGGATCAAAGGATTTTTTTATCTTTTTGTCATAGTTCTTGGCTATTTCATATTGAACGAAGAATTAGAAGAGGACTAACAAAAGTAATACATTGTTACGTGATTGTCATGAAAGGAATGTGGAAAAGAATCTGTACTTGCCCATCGTGACTTTTTCTAGATTTGATTCTTCTTATTCTTATTACATAATCTGAATGTATATATCTAGATGAAATCATGCTTTATAATGTTAAGAAAATGTAACCTCTTTAAGAAATTACATTTTCATGTCATCATGTCATCAAGCACAAATCCATCAAGAATATGCATTCAAGTGTGTGTGCACACACTTTTTTCCTTGAAAAGATACAGTAGGTCATGCAGCTGAATAGACACTGTTCTGTTCTCTTAATGAGCAGGTTTTAAGCCTCTTGGGTGAAGAACAAACAGGCAGTGTGACAAGTAATTCAGAACAGACTGTGAAGTCTCAGACTGCTACTTGTGTTCAGATGCCTGACCTTATAGACACCGTTGATTTAGATGACCATGATTACCACGTGACCAATGCTGCAACTGACAACCCAAGTGATCAAGTCATCACAAACTTAACAGCACCAGCACCCCAACTAATTGATGATTTATTTGGAGATGGCCCAGGGACTGCCGGAAGCACCAGTGAACTGAAAAATGATGATGACCCTTTTGCAGATGTCTTGTTTCACACTAATGACAGTAAAGAACCAGCAGATGATCTCTTCTCTGGGCTTACCATTGATAATAAACTAGATCCTCATGAGAATTTTGTGGCAGAAGAGAAAAGTGGAACTGAAATGTTTGATATTTTCGGGCCCAATTCTGAACTTCCTCAGGAGCAAGATCATAAAAATGATTTAAGCAATTTAATGGGTGGTTTATCCATTGATAAAAATGTCCCAAAGATGGAGCAGAAAGGAACCCCTCCTGGACAACTATCGGAACTTATGTCGGATTCAACTAGCCATCCCAGCCGCCAGGCCTCCAGCAATGCTTGGAGTGGCATTCTTAATTCTCAAACAGCCCTGCCGAATGGAAATGCAGTGTTACCTCCTGGTGGTATGCCTTACAATATACCTCCTGGAGTTATGTTCAATCCAGCCTTTCCTTCTCAGCCAATAAATTATGGTGCCATGGGAAATCTTCTTGCTCAGCAGCAATTCCTAGCGACAATGTCTGGCTTTCAACACTTTGGAAACCTCAATGCGCAAAATATGAATTTAAGTAATGTTGCTGGAACAAATGGAGGATATGCTTCCGCACTTCCTGATATTTTCCATGCAAATCAACCAAATCCAGCTCCTGGTTCAGTGGTGAACAGTTCAAAGAAAGAGGATACCAAAGCATTTGATTTTATCTCGGTAAGTTTGATTTCCTAAAGCTGATGTCTTATGCAGTTTCATTGATTAATGTTTCCTTCATTCCGATGTTGCATGGTTATATCAACTTTGAACCTGTATAGAACATATGGATGATGTATTGAAGGCTGATGACACCTAAACCTGTATCGATCAGATATCCAGAAAGAGAAACAAGAAAAATTTCTTCGTCTTGTTTTTTTGCTAGTATTAAGTTGTTGAATCCTTTATCTTACGGATTGTTTTGTAGGACCATATTGCTGCAGCCCGTGATCCAAAGAAGGTAGTTTAAGGCTGTCATCTTGTGCTTCAAGACCAAGGACCACTGCAGCACTCCGATAGCAATTACAAAGCAGGTCCATCTCTTAGAACAACAAAGCTAATATTTTGTTGTGAAAAGAATGAAATTTGCATAATTGCTGAGACGTTTTCATGATACAATCAATTAAAAGGGATAAAAACCAAATCATCTCGGAACCGGGATGAAAAGAGTAAAGAACATATTTGTGCTCGTTTTCGGTATTGGAGATTGAAGAGAATGAATGTTGTGTAGTTAGCTTTGCTAGTTTTACAAGCATGAATTGTAATACAGGCGAAGATTTTCCCAGCCCTCCCTCTTGTAATGAATTTGTAGAGTGCCTCTTTCGCCCCCCTTCTTTTTTCTCTCCTGTTTTTTTTTGGTTTTTCTGTTTATTTTTTTTTCTCTCAGAAAATAAATTGTGCTACATGCATATTTGATTTGGTCATTGGAAACGAATAATAAAACATTCGACTGTTTATCTTTATCGATGTAACAGTTACACTCCCATGCGAACGATTGTCAATTCGAGTGTTTACAACTCACATATATGCTTGTTCTTGTCACGACAACGATCGAGTTCCTCGTATCACAGAATAGAAAGGCGTAAAGGATGAGTTTTCTCTGCGTTTCGTGTCTATTCGTGTCTTTCACTACCCTACAGAAATCGACCCTAAAGATACCTACGACAACAACCCCAAACCCCTCCCAGTTCTCTATCCCATCCTTCTATGAACGAAAATCTCCTCGCACCCTTTTACCTCAGCTCCATGGTGCCTTTGCTCTCTAACACACATCCCTGCGCGGCTAAGCAAAACTGTTGTCATGGGTTCTGTTTCGAAAGTTCGTAATGCATTTCAAAAGTTATTTATGTTTGCATACCCCTTATCGAGGCATGCGATTATGGATCAACAGGCACGATTACGTCACGTCACGTCACATTAATTCGTTTTTAACTATTTTACAAACACTAGTTTCATATCATAGAAGAGTTTATTCCAACTCGGGTTGAAGTGAGCAGCAACACAAGCAATAACTTAGGTTATTCTAGAGGATGGATCTTCAAGGTTGTTCCATCTCCTAATTACTTCCATCTTCTTGCTTCTCTTTAGTTGTTTCACAACATCCAGCCGCTCCGAAGAATACGACGATGGGATCTACGTGCAGTAAATGATTTAGCCAAATCGAAAATGTACTTTTCTTTAAAAGAAAGATGCATTAATGGCAGAGGTAAGTTTAAGTTACCAGGCCCGGCATGTACTTGTTGATTGCTGCTAGCATGGCAGCATGACCTACTGCAGATACCTTGTCACAGAAAAGGAAGAAAACAGTTAACTTTTGTATAATTCGCTTACTAATCGCCTGGGATAAAATCTGATTCTCGTCTACAAACGTAAATAGAGTACAGTCGCAAGCATATGAACACATCACAGAGAACAGCATGAGCTAGCTCGAAATGCAACCACTAGTTTTAAGTAGCAGCTATTCCATCGATGTTTTTTTTCTTTTGGTAAATCTATATCGTGCAAGTAAATGAAAATACTAGGCAATCTTAGGAAAGAAAAGACGGTCAAATTATTGCTTACGGGAAGTAACATGAGAATTGTTACTGGTACAAGTGAAGTTATGTCATTTAGCGTTCTTTTTAACTTATTTCTTTCCCTCCTTGTAACCTTGTGGCCACGCAATTGTTTGAGGAGTAGCTCCGCGGAAATCGTGATGTCTATGAAAAGCAACTGAGTGCCCATCCATATATCCTTGCAACAAATAAAAATAATAATATGTTCAGTATTAGCATCGAGTTAAACATGTATTCAGCAAGACATAGAATATACATCCATCTCTAAATTAGACTTACGGAGCTCGCAGATACCAGCTTGTTGCTATACATCTTAACTAAACTTCGCTGATGATATTTTGATCTTGTGGCACTACCCTCCTCCATGGAGCTTATAGATTCCGCCCCGGGTGAGGGGGAATCCTTCCACTTAAAGAAACAAACGGTCACAACAATGTAATAAACAGTTAGACTATATGCAACGGTTCAAACCAAGTAGAGAGTCTAGAGAACATGCATCATTTTTGCTCAATTAACTTATATTTCTCCGAGATTAATAGCCTCTGGTAAAATTATCATTATAAATGAAGCTCTTTTATTCTTAATTTATTTATTTCATTTGATTATTTTAGTGAGATTACAGTAGTAGTTGTTTTGCAAAAGTAAATACCTTTCTGAGGTTAAGCCTGCGTTCAGGCTTATAATTTTGACAATCTTCTGATGTTATTAAGGTACTTGGCTCTTGTTGTGCCTCCATTGTTACTGATAACTTGGATGCAACTATAGATCCTACAAATGATGCTCGACGAGCACCAGGTTCTGTGACCTTCAGCAACTCACTGCTTGAAGAAAGGAAAAATGAGAACGAAAAACAAGCACATTTATCTCCTTCCTCTCAGTAGCTGGAAAATAAAACGTAACAACCCAGCAGAGAGATAATACCTTGATTTATCATAAGCAGCCCAGTAGTCTTCCAAACAAACAGTTAGCAAGCTCTGGCTGAAAAATTAATGTTTTTGAAAACCTTATTGGCCACTTTAGCAAATAGAAAACTTACGGAAGCAATCCTCAATGACAAAAGATGGGAATGTTTTACCTGTGGAGCAAGAAGTCTAGCAAATGAGTGTCTAAGGACTGTTGAGTTGAACGACTGAAGTGAGCAAATCCTGAGAAAACATCATAGCATACAGTAAACACAGCAGATAGAGCAATCTCTTTCTCTGCCTGGATGGGATGCAGTTTACATTTTTGTCTCGCTTGACTTCTTTTTGGACGACATGCAGCGTAGAAATCAAGCCATCCAATTTCATCAGTCACCACCTGTAAACTTAAACTTCTCAGATTAGCAAGATTTGCGCTTTTCTCTTGCAACGAAAGAAAGTTGGAAACTGACCTCCATGAAGTGTTGATAAACTGCTACAGAAGAAAACTCTGGGTGAATGAAAAGGCTACCACACTCCAAGTAGCTGCAGACAAACAATTCAACCTCTTATGTCCTCGGTACTTTTGGATTAAATCATTACTGTGAAGTTGGTTACCTGAGGAAGTCCTTAACTAGCTCATCAAGATCCTTTATGCCCATTGTTGACAAGAATAATCTAGTCCTTCTCCCAAGATATGCAAAAAGTCCTAAGGTAGCCAAAGTATCTGCTTGAACCTGTCAAAACTTTATAAAAACGAGCAATAATTAAAAGTTCTAGACACGAGCAGAAGGTTCTAAAGACAAAAAAGTAATATAAAATAAAATAGAAATAAAAAAAAGGCCGAATTAGCAATAGAGTAATGCATCTGAGACCCAGGACTCTGAGAAAGAATATCATGAATTATAAAATTGACCTTGTCATGAAAATTCTGCTTGCCTGGGATCACACGTTCTTTGCTGAATGCCGTTGAGAGTTTTTTATGAGCCAACCCAAACCAAAATTCTACCTCTTCACTTTTGTTGCTCAGCAGAACCTTTCTACCAAAATGGGACAGGAAATCCACTTCAAATCCTGCCTCAGTAGCTAACTTATGTAGTCTTTCCACTGACACAAGACTGTGTGAGTGATCCATGAGCTCTACCATTACATCTTCAATTGAAAATGAAAAACAAGGGCACTTAACACGACCGTTACCCAATTTAGCCACTGCAGCACAGCAGCTTATAGTCACAACCATCCCTGCAGCACCACTGTAGATTTCTTTGTTTAGGGCTATATGCTTAATTTCAGATTAACTGGTTAATATCACTGCATATGCATAAACTAGTGCACAAGAATCCGTCATATATTGAAACATATATGTACTGATTTTTGAGTCAAATGATAACACAAGACGCTTCATATATTAGGTTAGGAGCATTTGAGCAAACCTTCCTGCATATTCCATAGACCACTTCCTCAACAAGGGAATGAAAAATCCTGCCATAAGCGGCAGTTCCACCACTCTAAACCATTCTACTAATTCTGAGTGCCCCATGTTCATTTGACTCTCGATGTATTCGCCAATCAAATCAATCTTTGGGGTCAAGCTGAAAAAGATAAAATACTGAATTAAGCAAAGTTTAGAAATTCAAATATTTGCATCCAAGATGGAAAAGTCATAGTAATGCTTTAGCTAAGAAGAGACTTACTAAGCAAAGTTTAGACATTCAGTCTGACACTTTTTCTTTAGAAAATGATTACTAAGTCAAACATTTTTCAGTTAAGGCACTATAATTAAAACAACCGATGTTAATTCAAAATATTAAGGCTTTAACGGAAAGAAAACTTACATATCACTAACTGGAGAAGAGTCGCTGCTGTGACGTTCACTGGAAAGCAAAATTTCTACTTCGATTGCTGTTTTCAACAAAGCGTAAACTGCAACCTGCACAGCCAGCCATGGTAGTCAATTATAAACTTCATTTGTACCAACTAGTAACGTAACAAGGATTTCATCTAACTTGAGAAAGTTTACATCTTGCTCAATTCAGTGACCAAAATAAATAATAGAGATGCCAAAAAATGCAAAAGCACCTTCAACTATGGCCACCAATGATGTTAACACAATTCAACAGCCAAAACAATTTGTTCTATAGTTAGAAAATGTTTGTAACATGCTTTGAGGAAAGCAAAACATATGTTATACCTGATAAGAAATCCGTTTATGCCATTGATGGACATCCTTCCCAGACCATGCCATTGCAAGCTTTGGACCACTTCCTGGCAATTCAAGTGACTCAACTGCAACAGAGAAGCTCCTAGCCGATTCATGCAATACCCATTCAAGGCAATTGACCCGATCAAATTCGTTTTCATGATTACGAGTTCTAGCCACTGAGGCACCATTCACACAAGTTGTTTGACCAGAATAAGCTGTACACACTGTCGATGATGAGGTCCAAGATGAAGACCACCTCGACGAATTGTAACACCTAACCAATAAATCGAGCAAGTGATTTTTCGTCGAAAAGCCATAGATTCCTTGTTCATTTGCGCTGCACCTTGAAGGCATATGCACATTCACAATCACCCTTAGTCGGTTTTCTGATCTTACAGATCTTCTGTCCCAAGAAGTGAAGTTGCTATCAGAATTTATGATTGAAGGAATGCAAATGGTATCAACTATCCCCACCATCCCCCCTCGTCTCTCCCCTCTCCCAAGTTGTTCTGATTCTTGATTTTCAGCTATGGATAACAGATTTTAGGAGAACCCGAGGATTCCAAATATCTTAGTGAATATCGGCAAAGTTACAAGATTGGAACGATTCCAATTCCCATGTTTTAGTAAACGCATGGAAGTCAAGAATCGAAATGATTCCAATTCTTATTCCATGACAGTTAACATCCCAATGCTGCTACTACATAATTTATGACATCGTTTGAGTCTTCTTCTTCTCTAGTTTCCGTGTGTTTCGCCTATATACGAAAAGAAGTGAAATCGAACCAAAGCTATCAACTTCACAGAATTTGGACCAATTCTAAACAAGCACTATTGTTTTTATAATTTCAAAGCAATTTGAAGTATGTAAGGAAGAGAACTTGAAACCCCCATTTTGGATACAGAATCTGGATAAGAATTCAACTAACAGAAGCTGAGGGCTACATCCAATTAATCTAAACCATGAGCCTGAGCCATCAATAACCCAGATAATCAAATATCTAATTACACCCAGATAACAGAATTTTAAAAGCAATAAATCCACTAAGATAAATCATGGATTATTAAGAAGGTCTAAAAAATATAGTGTGCATCTGAGAGAGAGAGCTTACGAGTGGTAAAAGAGGTGAGGTTCGAGGGGAGACAAATGGAGAGCCATGGAAATCCGAAACAGAGAAAAGGGAAGCAAAATGGATCCATGTAAGTCACAAAAACAGAGGCTTTCTGCAGCGTGGCCATCGAGGCATAGAGAGAGAGAGAGAGAGAGAGAGAGAGAGAGAGAGAGAGAGAGAGAGAGAGAGAGCAGAAACTCCCAAGAAATATTTTTTGTTTTCTCTGTCATAGTGTTTATCTCCCGCCAGCCGTTCAGAGAGAGAGAGAGCAGAAACTCCCAAGAAATATTTTTTGTTTTCTCTGTCATAGTGTTTATCTCCCGCCAGCCGTTCTGTTCTTTTACAGGTTTTGGACTCTTGTTTCTGCAAGACTGTAGTTCCTCAAGAACAAATTTTATGGAGCCACCTAGTTTTGTAACTGTTCTAAGTGAGAGGTTCTAAATTCAATTTTTGCCAAAGATAAATTTGAACTACATTACTACTAGATCATTGTGAGGTTTAGCATACTCTCCCACCACCACTAGGGTAAGTAATATCGTTTGTTAAAAAAAAGAAAAAAATTCAATCCTAATGTTAAAACAATGACACCAAACCCCAATTACTACTGACGGTATTTCAAACTAATTACGTACTTGCTTATTGCATGAAAGTATTTTTACATAATTTAGTTGTCGTACCAGAGGCATCTATGAACACTGCGTGATTGACTTGGAATGATATTTTTGTTGCATGGAAGTCTTTCCCTTCACCATTTTTTTGGGAAACCCGACTGCAAGGCTAGGATAAACAATCATTAACATCTTTTGAAGAACCCAAAACACTAATGTTTTTCGATCCTTTACAAGTAGTTCTTCCATGACCAAAATTCAGTGTCGATCGTATTAGCCCTATCAGTAAAAATCTCCCAACTACTATCGTCTCAAAAGTTATCATCCGATCTAATTAGCAATCCGCTTGGAAACCTTCTCTCCAGAAGCGTCCGAGTTACCTTCCTTAACAAATCCAAGTTCTGACATGTCTTGTTTCCATCAAGTTCCTGCAGATGCGTATATAAGGTCACTGCAATCAAAATTTCATAACAAATCTGTGCGCCAAAACAAAAGAACGAAAATTATAAGGAATGAGGGTTCAAATGGCTATGACACAAATGAGAGAAAAGGATACGTGAAATATTTCCTAATATTTCGGCTAATTTTGAATTACCACTAAAGTCTTCTCCTCGGATTTTAATTCAAGACCATCATCATATTTAAACACCCAAAACGATTTCATCTTTGAAATAGGACAGCTAAATCTGCCAAATTGAATTTATGGTTCCTCCAAATACAAATGATTTCATTTTTACATTCACGAACAAACCTATAACAGCATTTGGCACAAACCTATAACAGCATTTGACACAAACCTACAGCCAGAAGTGAGGGAAAGACGAGAAGAGCTTATATGCACGGAAATTAGTACTTTATGCTATTTTCATCCAACATACATCGCTATACTACAAGCTTTTCAGGGCCATGCAGTTGTTAATTGTTTTGGTTTTGAATCATATGCAGAAGAAAGTCCCATTCTTAACAAATTCCAGATCAAAGCAGCACAACGTGTTTTATACAAACCAAAAATACTCACTTTTCCATTTGGCATTCCAGGTACATTTTAGAGAAGAGCCTACATTTTTCAGATTGGTGGCCCGAAGTTTTGAGGCAACTGAGGCATTTTTTTTTCTCCTGTAATAAAGCCAAGGAACTAAGAACTTCCAGCAGCACAAAGAACAACAACAAAGCCTTTTCCCACTAAGTGGGGTCGGCTATATGAATCCTAGAACGTCATTGCGCTTGGTTCTGTGTCATGTCCTATCCAGCAGCACAAAGAAACAAAATAAAAAAAGTTTCACATTTAGCCACCATACTGAACCCCCTCCAACATTTCCAACTTTTGACAAACTTGATTCTACAGAGAAAAAATTTGAAAAATAATGTTCATTAATGGAATAAAGCGACGTTACCAGGTCACACAAATGCATACGATCCAAGGGGAAGACACCTTTCTCTGGAGGAACTGGGCTCAGCCCTCTATTACCACCAAAAGCACCACCTACAAGAAATAATAACGCTTTTAAACAAAAATGAGATAGAGATACATATATATTACTGCAAGGATGATGGTATCTATTCGTGGTTAGGGCTGACCAAGATTTTCATCTCTTTTTATATACAAATAATACTGAACATCATGCAAGCGAAAGGCCAATTCTAACATTGCAGGAGAACTGTCAGCACAAGCACATTAAGTACGATACTACGACCTTATTCACAGGTTCAATATGGTTTGTGATCGTGGGTTCAGCAAAGCACCACAACTATCAAATCATAAACAATAATTAGTAGCAATAATGTGCGGTTTTAGGTTTATACACGACTCCCCATCCACCATTTCATTTATTGTCACTCCATCACCTTAGAATCTTTACCTCAAGCTCTTGGGGGTCCTATAAGTTTATAGTTATACTCAACTAAAATTCCAAATAACTAACAACATTTGAGTTGGCAACACGTCTTTTTTCGGTTTCAGGCAATAAGAAGCTACTTTTACGTTAAAATACAATCACAAAGTATCAATCCAAACCCATCATACTCAAATTTCACAACTTCATAATACGAAAACTCGAAAAGACATCCGTTAGAACATCTAAAATGTGCCACAACTTTGGCCTAAGAAGAGCTACTTTCACCGGCATCCTTGAATTCAAATAACCAAACATGATATGGAATTAATGTGTTCATTTCCCAAAAGGGCAATCAGTTAAACACAAAAAATCTCCAACTAAATCATTAAGAGACCCTCTTTTTTTTTCTGCATTCATACAAGTTTCAACAAATTCCTATTAATTATCACTTCCAGCCAAAACATACTAATCAAAATCAAATCTTCCAACTGGGTTTTCCATTATCTTTCAATAATCTAATCACACCCAGTAAATATCAATTTTAGAGAGAGAGAGGGGGGGGGGGGGAGAGAGAGAGAGAAAACCTGCACTCATTGTGAAAGCTGGAGGGTGAAAAATCCAATCTTGGTGGTAGAGAGTCGAAAAGGGATGTTACGCAAACAGAGATGGATTTTGAACCATTTCTCATACGAACCCAATCAACCACTCTCTTTGGTCCCTCTGTGTTACATTGCTAGCGTGTGAGAGATTTACAGAGCCGCAGAGGGTTGAGGTCTTGAAGATGGAGAAGGAGAACTGCGAGTTGTCGTTTAAAATAATAAACGACAAGTCGTTTGGAATGAAATAGCAACATAATTCGACCAATAAACAAAAAACAGAAGGAAAACCAACATATATAAATATTACCAAAAAAATAAAATTTGCAACATAAAGGATCCTCGTAAGCAACTAAAATGTAAAAAGAAATGTAAAATAAAAAAATAATGATAGTAAATATTCTTGGCTTGACACGATAAAATATGTCATATCACCAATTGTATACAATTATGTGTCTATCTCTCTCATCACGTGATATATAAACAATGACATTTTAAAAGTCTCTTCCAACCACGACATGATATATACCGGGTTTGTGTCACGTCCAACCCCACGTTCATCTGGATGAGTAGTGACTTGTGGCAAGTCTCAAAATTGCCAAAATCTAATCCTCCTCACACGGAGGGAAAGCATACAAATAGTAATGCAATAGAAATCAACGAAAGAGTAAACAGGATACAATTTGTTTTGTAATTTTTGGCCGATTTATACAATTTTTGATTCGTTGGTTGTATTTATTTACAAGTATATGTTGGCTGCTGCCCCCCTTTCAACCATACTATTCTACACAAAATAGCTGTTGCCTCAAATAACCAACAAAACAGCTAAAGCGACAACGAGCTGATGTTGAACTACTCTATCAGTTACTTGCATGTCAAGGAAGCAGTTATGGCATCTGTAGTCGAAACGGAGAAGTGCTACACTGGCTTCTGGTCTTGGCTTTGAGAGGATTCTCCGGCCGCAGTCATTCTATGTGCGTGAGGATGCTGAATTATTACCAAGACGGAATCCTTAGTGCTTTTGGCACAAGAAGGTGAAGTTGGCTGCAGTAGTTCAGACATTTTTAGTTAGATGATTTAATCAATGAACACGTTTGTAATGCGTAAAGTATGATTTCGAATAAGACTGAGCGGGGACGAGCAAGTTTCCAGAAAACTAAGGCCCTTATACGAAGAATTAACAGGCATCAGCTGTTGTGTAAAATTAGCTTGTGCTCCTATTGCTCACCACTCCGATGTGCCATTCATGCTTAGTGAAATCTCTGAAAGTTTCTGCATCCATTTCCTGCATTGGCACGAGTAGGGAATGTCAGAAAAGAGGGGAAAGTAAATATGGAAATTCCACTTCTACTTCTTAGTTTCTTGTTTCCTTCCTCATTGGCCTTGACCTTTTTAGAGGGACAGTAAGCATAAGTTGACACAAATTCTTCAACATTAATTTTACGCAGTGTGTGCAATTACCGAAAATAACTTACGATGCTATAAACGGGAGGCACCACTAGTTCCCCTTTAGATTTCAGTGCCGGCATAATAGAAAATCGCGGTGCCAAGTCCCTTGACCTAAAAGTCCACCTGCAAGATACAGTCGTGGAGTTACGACAACAAACAGGGGGAAGGTGAACCAAGTAAAAGCAAAGGTCTTCCAAAAAAAATCCATAACCATGTCTGTTCCCGTGAAAGGAACATTCACAGAACCAAGAAGGTAAACATACCCGATGTAAACAAAGATGCAGAACTGTGCCCATTCTCGAACTAACAAGCGTATCCAGTAATTTTCTGATGAGTCGTCCATGTTAATGTATATCTGAGAACCAGAACGTTCGTTCTCTCAACTAGTGTCTATATATTGCTATTTGTATATGCAATTATAATCAATAAAGTCAAGATATACCATACCACAGTCTCTGCCATGGCTACTATCTGCATTGCACCTTGAAACTTTCTGGATCGACATCAGAATATACAGCATATGAGGTTCAAAAATGTGATGTCCTCTCTTTTAAAATGGGAGTATGAACGTAAAAATGTGAAACACATACTTGAACATGATGTACTTCGTATAGACTGCATCATGCATTGCGCGAACATCCTCGTCATCTATGAAGCTTAATTGGTGGCGCAATACTAAAAGATTTTGCGATATATGGTGAAATATCACATAGAATGAGATTAAATAGTTAAGCAGCAGCAAGACCTGAATCAAGGCAGTAACGGAAAATTAGTACGCACGGGATAAGTAACTAAAAACTTTTAAAAAGAAAGGTAATAGCTCCTGCCTATTTACCACTGTAATGCTTTTTAGCTAGTCAAAGAAAGAAACTTACAGAGAAATAAGGTACAGAAGCCCTGTATCCGACAAGAGTCAAGTAAATGAAACAGCCAAGGGAAGCAGTAGTACGCCGCTCAGTCACTGAAAGACGCTCACACATGATGCAGTAACCATGAGAGATGAGTAAAAACGACACAAAAGAAGCTGTCTGAAATATCACTCCGGTAACGTACACCCCAAATGACATCCACAGGGAGCATATTTGAAGATGAAAACACGAATACCTAAAATGTGATTCTTCAAAATTAGTATGTTTGATCGAGGAAACAGCGGTAGACTATTCATGACAAGGAAGACCAAATGTGCTCGACTTCCTCACCAATACACGTAACAAAAGCATAGGAGACATACAATTTCCTACAGAGCTCTCTAATAAATTGGCCTCAGAAATTTAGGCGTCGACAAATAAGCAACATCATTTTAGGTTCTGAGATTATGAAGAGTTGCGGAATTCTTCGATTGATTGTTTGAATCCCCTTACAATGAACAGCATCTACATTCCATTTCCTCAAGATAAAAGAACTTACCAAAAGAGGAAAGACAATGTGAGTTGCAAGGCTTTAATCAACGGAACGGATGCGAGCGTCCATTGCAAATTATTCGTCTGCTCTAGTTCAACAACAAAGGAAACACAACAGTTATAACAAATGCAAACAAACGAATAAATAAGTATAGATATACACATATATATGTACAAAAATTTCTCAGCAACCAAACAGAAGAAAGAGAAACACTGAAACCGATTGCCCAATAGAAAAATAGAAATACCCATTGTTTTGTTGCCTGGAAACTGATCCATTGAGATAAATTAAACGTCTTTCACAAACAACGTAAAATAAATTTTGAAATGTGATTGTTTATTTTTTAGACCAAACAGAGCACAGTAGAAAACACGCTCAAATATTCTCCTAAAACCCAAATTATACATTCAAATTACCAACATTACCAGATAAAATAACCCAGAAAACAATTCACATTACATTTAAAAAACAATGGGAATGGATATGGAGGAAAAAGGGACCTGGAGATGGCGGTTTTTGTAGGTGTTGAAGGTCCAGGAGCAGGCCGAGACAAACCAGATTGTCAAGAAGGCTAAGTAGACCGACGGGAGATACCGATACGACTCGTCGAGTCCGATACGATACTCTCCGACGCTCTCCAATTCGGCCATTCTGCGAATCGGGATCTTAATCATGAAAATCACAAAGCGTGGAGCCTTCCAATTTGATTTTTCGTTTTTCCGTTATGTTTTCGCTCCCTCCGCTTCTGTGCTTTTTATACATCCGCTTTTGCTGACGCCTTCAGAAAGGAGCCGTTTTTTGGTGTTTGTATTTTAATACTATTTTTTGAAAAATACACAAAATTTTATTTCTTTTTTTTTTTTTTTTTTTTTTTAAATGATAGTATTTATTCATTAAGACGTAAACTTAAGTTTACGTCTTCAGCGAAAATATCAAATAAAAATGTATGAGATCATTTTGTATTGAGATAAATGATAAATGTACCCTTTTTGATAATTATTTTTTAGTTTTCGCCTCCTCTTTTGTTCAATTAGAGGAATCCGAAAAGCTTAAATCAAATTGATCATGCCTTAACAATAATTTGTTTTTAGATTAGTGGAGTAAAGTGGAAGAAGATTTATTAGTAAGAATGTAAAGGTGATGAGCCCGAATGAAGGAAAATGAAGTTGGTGATCCTCTCGTAGTTCATAGAGTCATACAACAAACCCACTCCCTCAAAAGTCTCCTCATTAGTAGGCCTAATTATTGGGATCAACTATATCCACCAAAACCAAATTTTGTGCCCCCATCAAAATCTTCTGTTACTATTTTGAAGGGACGTTGAGGATTTTAGAAGGAGCCTCCCCTAGCCAGCATGGTCCTCACGGGGACAATTTTCTTCTTTTCAAATTCCAACAAAAAAAACGTGGATATTCTTTTTGGATTTATTATTCTTTTTATTTTCTTACATAAATGTATGCATGGCACTTCAAACGAACAAAGGAATTGACGACTATTTTCTTTAAACATCTTGTATGTAACATATATGTTGTTTGATTAATGTCGATTAAATTCCGCTACGCAAAATATAATTATATCAGAATGATTCTGATTAATAGTCTGACAAACGAATATGATTGTAAGATGTATAATTTGTGAGGGACTTGTCGTAGCATTTAGCAACTCGTAAATATGATAAACTGTATATGGTCAACTGCTACGCAAGTAGATAGGCAACTGATGTTGACTATATTGACTGCTTCCAACAAAAGCTCTTATGAGAAAAAGATGGTTTGCCATACGAGATTTAATTTAGTTTGGTCATTTTATGTAAGCATTAGGTGAACAAACTCAAAAATAAAATTATTCTCTTATAATCCTACTCCATTTATATCAATATAATTTGTTCCATATTCGCCGATTAGGTGGTTTTAGTTAAATCTTATATATTATTGTGGCTTATTTTATCTGACAGGGAGAGAAAGGCCCAGCGGCATAAAGAGAGAATAGTAGAGATGTGTTTGTAAGGTTGTATAGACGATGAATTATTCCCCATACGTAGTGCCTTTATTTATAGTAATAAGGGAGAAAAGAATTCTCCTCCAAGGAATACAAGAAGAAAGACTAAAATCAAATCTAATCTAATATTTACACAATCACACTTAAATACAAAGTTTATAGCACTCCTCCTTGAGTGTATAAATACTCGAGTAGATTCAGCATCTTATAGAGTTGAGGAAGTCGACTCGTCGGCACTGATTTTGGGACCACGCTAGTCTCAAAGTAAAGTAGGAACTTGCATATGGAACTAAGTCTCACAAAAAAACTCAATGGCTATGGTAAAACCCAAGTAGGAACAAAACCCAGAGTCTAAGTGATGGGTGCACATTTTCATATATTTTTATCATATATTTCCTTTGGATTTTGTATATATGAATGGGTTAAATGCACTAATTTATATTGTTTTATTTTCTAGGCATTCAATACGGGAGTTAAGTGAAAAAGAAGTGGAAAATGGAGTTTCCACATAGAGAGAAAAGGCCGTCAGCACATAGAGAGAATAATGAGAGATGTGTTTGTTGGGTTGTGTAGAGGATGTGTTATTTCCCTTACGAAGTGCCTTTATTTATAGTAATAAGGAAGGGAAGAATTCTTCTCCTCCAAGGAATGCAAGTCCTAATAAGAAAGAATAATCAGAATCAAATCTAATCTAGGATTTACACAATCACACTTAAATATCAAGGGACAAACATTTTTACCCTCCTTTGTAGCCTTTAGATCTTATAACATCTAATGGTCTTGATTAAGAGGGATTTGGAGACTTTTAAATATTAAATGACTTGGATCATGATGTAGATTATAACTAAAAAGGAAGACACTACTTTAAATTAAAAAGAAATATCAAATAACAATAAAATTGGAAACAAAAGAAGAAGGAAATAATCGAACTTTGAAATATCTAGGTTAAAAAAATAAAAAAAAACAAAAACATGAAAGCTCAATCTCCCTCTTTACCAATGAGATCCTACAACTTCAAGATGAAAACTCTTCTTTCCTTTTACCAAACAATGAACCCTAATTATAACAACAAAGAAAAATAATACCAAGCAGAGAGAGTTTTTCTTTGAGAATAATTTACGGATTTTTTTTTAGTTTAAGCGCCATAGAACAACAAATACAATAAACTGGAAAAGAAAAGAAAAACATCAATCTACACATAGAAACCAAACCAGGGACTAACCAAGAACATGAGAAGGAGGCGAAGAGAAAATTCCAGCAAATTTCACCACATGCTTCTTTGATTCGATTGAAACAAAACTATTATAAGCTACCATTTGATCTTTTCATTAACACCAAACCTTAAACCCTAATCAACCACATTAGAATTGATCAAGAACCCAAACCATAAGAAAAAGGACTAAAAATGGTTAGCACTAGCATAGGCAAGCATTTGGCAGCATCATTGGTTTCAACCTCACATGATTTATATTTGATCAAATTTTCATCCTGATCTAGAGTTAGAGTTTGATGCAAACACAGAATGTCATTTTTCCCTTATTTGCAATCTCAAATCATTCTTCTGGAACCTGAAATTGCTAGCCGCTGCTTTAATATCTCTGAGGTTGACGGTGTGAGTGATAGGAAGTTGAAGTGTTGAGGTTGGATGAAGCAATTGGATGGTCGTGCTTCTACACTTGCACCTAAACGTGCCATTTTCGTTCCTTCTTTAGGCTTTTTTTTAATAAAAAAAAATTCCTCTTAGTTTGTATGTTTCTCAATTTTAATTTTATTTATTGCTAGTTTTATTCCACATCATCATCCAAGTCATTTAATGTATAAAAGTTTCCATGTCTCTCTTAATCAAGTCCATTAAATGTTATAAAATCAAAAGGTTACAAAGAAGTGTAAAAATATTTGTTAAAATGTTTGTCCCTTGATCATATTCCTATATATATATATATATATATATTGTTGACTCTAAAAACTACTTAGCCTACGTGGCGCGCATGCCGAGTAATTAATGAGCTAACTACACTCTTCGATCGAATGTAGGGCATGCCAACTTGTAGGTGGCTTGGAAGTAAATAAATGTTGATGTGGTGTTGGGCATGTTGCTGACTTCTTGATTTTGCGACTGCGATTGAGGAAGGAACATGTCTCGGCTTTCGAGTTCTAGAGCCTGAAGATAAGGCTGCTAGTTCTGCGAAGTTCAATAAGTATTCGACTTTCAGTGTGCCGAATGTCATAACCTGGTAACACCTCACTTTGCCGAGAAAGCTGATGAGATGACCTTTACCAACAAGGACTCGAAAATCCTTGCTTATCAAGACTTGGATAGATAATCAGTCGGTCTCGAAGCAGTGTTGTTTATCCAAATTGAAGGTGCTCATTGGTCGGCTAATTCTACGGCTCCAGTGCTGTTTATCCAAACTGAAGATGTTGCCGGTTGCCACCATAGTGCTGTTTATCCAAAATGAAGGTGTGTTGCCAGGAAAAAAGAAAATAAAAATCTCAAGATCTTTGAGAGGTTGTTTTTGCAGGGCAGTTGTGTGTTGATTTCGAGGAGCTTGAATGATGCACTCCCTTCTCTATTTATAGTACCAATTTCCTTAATGATTGAGGTAGAGTTTCACCCGAACAAGAACTCCTTAACCCAATCTGAATAAGTCTCGACCAATCCTAACTCTTATAGGATTCTGAATCAAGCTCTTTAATCACTCATATTCAACCCTTGACTCTTGGCATCTTTTCTGACTCGAAGCATCCATAGCTTCTGAGGAATCCTTATTGTACTAGGATTCGACCACTTTACCCTTATCTAGACGTAACCATCTTCTGATAAGATTTGGCCGAACTCTACAAGGCCATGCCCAATGTGGGAATATTCCTGATACTCCTTACTAGACTGAGAACAATCATGGGCTTGTTCCAAAGTATTATTTTGGGTCCAAACATATATATATATATATATATATATATATATATATTGCGTACGTATATATTGATTGACTATCGAGAAAAAATTTGGTGAAGAAGGGAGTTTCAATGATTAATACTTTTTTACCAAAAAAAAAGTAAGTGTTTCTATTTCTCATGAAATATCACTTCATCCTTTATTATTACAACTATATCGCTTTATCCTCTATTTTTACATTTGTATCGCCTTACCCTCCTCCCTTAACTTTATTTTGTATCGTATCTTAGTTTGTTAACTTTGTCTATAACAGTTGTCACTTAGTACTACAGTCTAGTGGTACTTTTTTTTTCTCCATGATATTGATAGTAAATATTATAAATAATAAAATGAGCATCCTGTAATCAAAAGCTAATTAATGAGTCAACTAATGAAAGTAACGAATTGCAAGTTTGTAATAATGTGAGACACAAAGTAAAAATCTACCGAAAGATAAGTGATTCAGTTGCAAAATAGGGAGCATTTTTGCTCACCACCATTTAGTGTGATGTATGCTTACCATTCTATTTATCACCGTTAGATGAATTTGAAATTTGAGATTCAAGTAGTGGATAAGCACAAATCTCAAAATTCAAACTCATCTAACGGTGATAAATAGGATGGTGAGCATACACCACATAAATGGTGGTGAGCAAAAATGCACTCTGCAAAATAGGGGCAAAGTGATGCATAGGGTTTTGTTTATGAGGTATAAATTCAAACAACATATTAATGAAACTTTTTTTGTCAATTAAAAGAGGATTAAAAGACATTTTTGTCTTTTATCACAAAATAAAATTATGAACAATAAAGTAATTTTGTACAAACTAAATTTTACAATT